TCTCTGTAATGTATATTGGGGTTTTCAACATCCAGAGTATGAGAAGTGCATTTTCAAGTCACTCTCTTCCTCCCCGTCTCTCTCTCTCTCTCTCTCTCTCGCTTCCCCTCTTCCTTCTCCATCCCTCTTCTTTCCGTATCTGTCTGCAGCTTTTATCTGCTAGCCAAGGTCAGACAGCTGGTTGGCGATCTAACCCGATAAGGAAGGGAGAGAGTGGGTCGAGGTCAGGAGCGTCCAGCTGGCTAATCTCCTCAAACTGTCCCCTGATAGAAACTTTTGCCTTTTGTAGCCTAACACTTGCCATTTGTTACAATTATTTAGCTACATCCAGATGCAGAAGCATATTGTACCAAATCAACGTTACTCATTAGTCTTTCCACTATATCCTTCAGGAGCATGCTCACGCCTTCAGAGAGGGAAAGGGAGAAGAGGAGGAGAGGAGTGAGGGAGGAGAAAATCACCTGCAGATTCTCACAGAGATCACCTGCAGATCACCTGCAGATTCTCACAGAGATCACCTGCATTACCTGCTCTGTGTCCTACAGTGAGGTGGGGGCCAGGCCCAGATCCCTTTAATACCCTGCCCTGTGTTCTACAGTTAGGTGGGGGCCAAGCCCATATCCCTTCATTTCCCTGCCCTGTGTTCTACAGTTAGGTGGGGGCCAAGCCCATATCCCTTTAATTCCCTGCCCTGTCTTCTACTCTGAGGTGTTGGCCTCAATCACTTGCAGTACGCTTGGACTATACTGGGGAGAGGGTGATGCTCCCCATGGTCACTTTAATTTACTGTAGTGGGATACATTTAGGGTCACAAAGAGTGTTTCTTGGTAGTCTTAAACAAATCTACTTTGAAACAAAAGTATACAACTCAAACACATGGTTATGGGCTTTAAAAAAATAAGACACCTGTCCCATGTCAGATATAGAGTTGAAATGTATTACATTTTGAGTTTACATCCCAATATTAAACTTTATATACATCACAGAAGACTGAAATATTACAAAACCGTTTGACATAGAAATGTTTATTAATATTGAAATTATGACATGATAGTAGTAACATTCCAACCATGAGGCCACTAGAGGGCGATTTGGTCATTAGACTGCAGGAAAGGGCTACATCTGTTGTCGTAATGGTGTTGAGAGTGTGGTAAAATCTATATTCTGACCTTTAAGATTGGTGTATGTGTGTACTTACGTTGTCTGTTTTTTTAGACGGTTTAAGAGGCCAGTCCCAGAAAAATGTGTGCACTCACTAACTGTAAGTCGCTCTGGATAAGAGCGTCTGCTAAATGACTAAAATGTTAAATGTTAATGCTAAAGAGTGACATTTTGAGTGTGAGTTTGCCTCATCCTTCCATGCTGGATAGAAAACACAACCACCGGACAAAAACAAAGGGCCTTGTAGAATACTCACACCAGCGCACGCAAACAAACACATCTCTACTAGTGGAATGGGGTTTTCTATTAAATAATTCAAAAGGCTGTACTAGGATGCCAATCAGAACTACTACAGCCATAAAAGGCATCTGTAGTTGGTGCAGAGTCGAGCCCTGCAGCAAATTAAGGCATTATTCCTGATATCCAGGGGAGGATGCAGCAGCGGTAGTATTTCTGCCTTCATATTTATTTATTTATTTATCTTCTTGGTGGAGGGAAGGAGGGAGCAGTGTTTGGGTAACTGCAGGGAGAGAACTGTCAGCACACTTTATCCACATTTGAATAGCGGCTTTCTGCCATTGCTGAAGCTCCAAGGTGAAACTCACTTTGCAGAGAGCACCAGCTCAACAGGGAAAGCCTTCATTTGTGACCTGAGGTCTGCGCTTTAGTGCTTCAACCTTCGATTTAGCTCAATTAACTTGTTACTATTTCATATTGCCAGCGTTGAATGGAAAATAATGGTACCATACAGCCTACACTGAAGTGACTCTAGTTATTAGTCGATAATTAAATCTATATTTAACCTGTGTTCCGCTTTATGTCACATATATTCTATATGATTGGACAGTATCTCCTGAAATTAATTTGGTTTCCTGTAAACTGCCTTGAAATGATTGAATATTATCCACAATCAGTAAGGATACATACAGTAATTCAAACCTTATCATAATTACATATTTATCTGAGGGGGGGGATTAGGTTTATTCCACAAATAGGAATCTAGGAGTTTCATCGCTGCAAGAAACATATTTCAGAATATTGAAATGAAAATGCAAGGAAACCTTCAGTACATTAGACCTATACCATTACACACTGACAGACAGATCTACCACTATATATCACCAGCCAGTTATTTCCAATCCATTTACTTTCTATGAAATGTTCTTCTTCTTCACTGAATGGATGCCCTGATGCAAATCCATATCAAATGTGTAGATGAAGCCAACTGGATGGTGGAAGATGATGGTGATGGTGAAGATGATGAAGATGATGGTGATGGTCGCTCTACTGCCAGATAACAGAGCGAAGGACCAGGTACTTCCATTATGACCTTCCTCAGCTGGTACACATCACCGGGGACAAATAAGAAGGTGGTGAAGGCGTATCATCAATATGTTAATGAGAACGGCGACATTAATGACAGTTCTCAGATTGGGTAGAGTACAGTGTGTGTCTGCGTGCCGTGGTGAAGAGCATGCTTGGTTGCTCAGGATAGCTGGGTTGACATTGGGACAAACATCTGTATTATGCTAATGTCCTCCCGTATGTAGACAACATGTCATTTTTATCACCCATACTGATATACACTAGTATGAAAATATGGAATTCTGGGAAAATAATGATTGGTTGATTGCATAAGGAATAGGTGGATACATTTGTTAGCTCCTATTGATGAAGTTGTGAAGCAATGGTTCATTGTAACCTTGTAACCCCCCCCCCCCCCCCCCCCCCCCCCCCCCCCCTTCCTTCCTTACCGTAATTGCAACAAACACTCAGTCACTTCTACCACTCAACTCTTATCCACTTGGTTACCTTGGCGGGCCGAGATGACATCACTCTCCATCCACATCCAGGAGGTTATGTCAAGACAGACAAGGTCATTACTCATGAAGAAGCCCCTGTGGCACTCTCACGCTATCTCCCACTGCTTGGAGACTCCCCAGAGCAACCTCCGTAATTAGTCAACTTCCCCCTGCTATTCATCTGACTGACAGCCCCTAGCCCCCTACCTACCCATGGAGCTAGGATAGGACAGTATCCCCTATCCATGGATGGAGGCTGGGGCCGGATCCACCGGCTGCTTCGCAAAACACCTGATCAACATCCTGCGCGGCTGATATTTGATTGAGTTGTCAACAGGTTTCAAAATTGAAATCCTATTATTAATGTATGGTTGAAATCTGGGTTAGAATTATGGATGTCAATGAGTTCATGTGAGTTCTTTCAACTAGCCGCATTACTACATTGATAAAAGAAGTTGAAATAACGAGGAAACTATGTTGACTCAACCAATCTTTGCCTGAGGGTAATGTTGTTAGCATAGAAACTATGGTAAACCCTGTCTGGCAAATAGCTTAGGCTACGGTTGAAATGAGTACACGTAAATACATTTCAGATGTGAAATCAACAATGTATTCACAGTGTATTAGCAGTATAACCCTTTTTAATTTGTGAAATGGTGTTCAGTTATTTGCATGCCGTGTTTGTGCGTGGCTTCAGTGTGACAACATGGTTGCATGTCAATCGACCTTGTTCATCTCTTGGCTCCAGACATTAATGTTGAGGTCTGGGTTGTGATGGTGTGCTGTATAATATGTACTGTCACTGTCTTCATGATATCTGTAGACTTCTACGCCCCCTGAGTCTTAACAGCAACATGGTAAAAGCTGATCTGCAAATCACAGGTTGTCTGTTTGCTTCAAATGCTAATTTACTGCTAATCATCAGCTCAGTACAGAGAGTTATTTACTCACAGCAATGTTTACTGCATGTCACTTTTATCCATTTGAGTCAAACTCATGTCATGTTCGTTTTTTTACATTCAATAGAACTATTCACTCCCTTTTCATTCGGATGTCTAAATACTGTACTTAAGAGACATTATGCAAATTGGGAGAAATGTTGAACTTATTTCACCTCATTAACTGAGTAGCATACAGTGCCTTGCAAAAGTATTTCATCCCCGTTGGCATTTTTCAAAAAAAAATTGTATTACATCCTGTAATTTAAATGGATTTTTATTTGGATTTCATGTAACGGAAATACACAAAATAGTCCAAATTGGTGAAGTGAAATGAAAAAAATAACTTTTTTCAAAAAATTATATAACAAATAAATAACAGAAAAGTGGTGTGTGCATATGTATTCACCCCCTTTGCTATGAAGCCCCTAAATAAGATCTGGTGCAACCAATTACCTTCAGAAGTCACATAATTAGTTAAATGAAGTCCACCTGTGTGCAATCTAAGTGTCACATAATCTCAGTATACATACACCTGTTCTGAAAGGCCCCAGAGTCTGCAAAACCACTAAGCAATGGGCACCACCAAGCAAGCGGCACCATGAAGACCAAGGAACTCTCCAAACAGGTCAGGGACAAAGTTGTGGAGAAGTACAGATCAGGGTTGGGTTATAAAAAAATATCCTAAACTTTGAACATCCCACAGAGCACCATTAAATCCATTATAAAAAAAATTGAAAGAATATGGCACCACAACACACCTGCCAAGAGAGGGCCACCCACCAAAACTCATGGACCTGGCAAGGAGGGCATTAATCAGAGAGGCAACAAAGAGACCAAAGATATCCCTGAAGGAGCTGCAAAGCTCCACAGTGGAGATTGGAGTATCTGTCCATAGGACCACTTTAAGCCGTACACTCCACAAAGCTGGGCTTTACGTAAGAGTGGCCAGAAAAAAAGCCATTGCTTACAGAATAAAATAAGCAAACACGTTTGGTGTTCACCAAAAGGCATGTGGGAGACTCCCCAAACATATGGAAGATTGTTAAAAATGGTTAATAACTGTCCCAGAGGTAATTAAAATATAGTAACGTTAAGCATGAGGATGAGGAACCTCTGGACCAAAGCAGGTGTTCTGGGCTCGGTGTCCATGGCGTTTGGATCCATGCTCTGGTCTCATAAGAAGACAGAACCAACTCAGACGGATTCGGGTTCGGCCCCTGCATGCACGGAACCACCTTTTCCTTACGAGCTCAAAATTCGTGCAAGTCCTGTTCCACCACGGAGCACGAACTCCGCTGAAGTCTATATACCAGATGTCATGGAGGCCCAGTGGGTGCCTAACCTCCTGGAACCCCCAGCACACACACAGATCAACTATGTGGTGAAAGACCTGGAAGGAGGTCCACGGCCCTCCTCACCGGTGGAGGACAGCTACCGGGCCAACATACTGACCGAGGGTACGTACCCAGGTCAGCTGACCACGGTGGGCATGCAGCAGCTGTATGAGCAGGGAGAGAGGCTGAGGAAGAGGTACATCCAGGCCACAGCCTTCCTCAACCCCACCTTCAGCCCTACAGAGGTTTATGTGCGTTCCACTAACATTGTGAGAACCATAGACTCTGCCAAGTGCCTGGTGGCAGGGCTATTCCATCAAAGCCAGAGCGACATGGTTCCCATTCTGACGACTGAGGCAGAGTCAGAGATCCTGTACTACCACGGATGCAGACTGCTCAAACTCCTCAGTGGTCATCGCTGGGCGGCATCATCCACTCTGCCAGACATCGCTGCGGACCTGAGGAGCATCAAGAGCACCTCTGGGCATCGCTGCCCCACCAACGGGTTGACTTCGTCCTCGTCAGGGACGACATGGTGGCGAGAGAGACCCACGGCCTACCCTGCCCACCAGTCCTGGACTCCTGGAGGAACACAGTGGCGCAGAGAGCTGTGGAGATGATCTACCACATCTACGAACCCAGCAAGAGGGAGAACCTGCAGCTGTGGACAACATAGAAGACAAATTACAGGACACAACCTCAGAGCCCAACAGGAAGCTGTTCCTATACTCTGCCCACGACACCACTCTGATACCCTGTCTCATGGCTCTGGGGATTTTTGACATGCGATGGCCACCGTATGCTGCAGACATCACCCTGGAGCTGCACCAGCACCGGCAGACCAAAGAGGCCTTCGTCAAAGTGTCATACATTGGCCAGGACCACTTGATTCCAGGCTGTAATGGAGTCTACTGCCCCCTGCAGGAGTTCAAGCAGGCCCTCTCCAACTACTCACTGACCTCTGAACTCTACGAGTCACTCTGCAACCACACAGAGGGCGTGGCTGACCCCCGAGGCTTCTGCGACCCCCTCCTTACCTCTCACCTTTGACCCCCAGTGAGTGCAAATGTATGCACTCACTAACTGTAAGTTGCTCTGGTTAAGAGTGTCTGCTAAATGACTAAAATATCAAATGTAAGAAGGTACTCTGGTCAGATGAGACTAAAATGTTGCTTTTTGGCCATCAAGGAAAACGCTATGTCTGGCACAAACCCAACACCTCTCATCACCCCGAGAACACCATCCCCACAGTGAAGCATGGTGGTGGCAGCATCATTTACATTTTACATATTTAGCAGACGCTCTTATCCAGAGCGACTTACATAAGCAATTAGGGTTAAGTGCCTTGCTCAAGGGCACATCGACAGATTTTTCACCTAGTCGGCTCGGGGATTAGAACCAGCGACCTTTCGGTCACTGGCACAACGCTCTTAACCACTAAGCTACCTGCCGCCCCATCATGCTGTGGGGATGTTTTTCAACAGCAGGGACTGGGAAACTGATCAGAATTGAAGGAATGATGGATGGTGCTAAATACTGGGAAATTCTTGAGGGAAACCTGTTTCAGTCTTTCAGAGATTTGAGACTGGGACGGAGGTTCACATTCCAGCAGGACAATGACCCTAAGCATACTGCTAAAGCAACACTCGAGTGGTTTAAGGGGAAACATTTAAATGTCTTGGAATATCCTAGTCAAAGCCCAGACCTCAATCTAATTGAGAATTTGTGGTATGACTTAAAGATTGCTGTACACCAGCAGAACCCATCCAACTTGAAGGAGCTGGAGCAGTTTTGCCTTGAAGAATGGGCAAAAATCCCAGTGGCTAGATGTGCTAAGCTTATAGAGACATACCCCAAGAAACTTGCAGCTGTAATTGCTGCAAAAAGTGTCTCTACAAAGTATTGACTTTGGGGGGGTGAATAGTCATGCACGCTCAAGTTTTCTGTTTTTTGGTCTTACGTCTTGTTTGTTTCACAATAAAATGTATTTTGCATCTTCAAAGTTGGAGCATGTTGTGTAAATCAAATGATACAAACCCCCCCCCCCCATTTTTTTTATTTAAATTCCAGGTTGTATGGCAACAAAATAGGAAGAATGCCAAGGGGGGTGAATACTTTCACAAAACCACTGTAGATACCATAAGTCTATGGCCACGCTCTAAAGTCACATGTAACTTTTTCTAAATCGGTGTAAAATAGTCTAATTTCTTTATTATTTTAGGACTGAGCCAATTAGTGAATCACTGTGGCCATGCAGGTGGTTCACTAATAGATGATAATGACACACCTTGGGCATTCAGAGACAGTGTGCCGCACAGGGCTTTTCAGCAACATTGCACAGTGCACATGTCTAATTGGCTGGCGGAACCGGAGGTCGAATGGAAGAGAGGGAAGAAAGGAGAGCAAGAACACCATTTTATATTTCAGCCAACCTGGTTAAAGCTGGTTAAAGCTGGGTATATTCACTGGGACAATGGCATATTACACTAGGCAGCCACATTTAACTTCATAACACATGGAGGATTGAAGTCTCTAGAGAACTAGAGAGAAGTAGATATTTTGTTCGAACAAGAAGAAAGGGTGGAAGGAGAAAGCCTGGGGTCACAATCTCCTCATCCTCCTTCTTCTGCCTCCCCTGATTAAAAACAAACAAACAGAGAACAGATTGCCATGAAGTCTGACGAGATGCTTCCTTTATATCTTTCATTTGATTTTAAGCGAATGTGGCCAAAAAAATAAAGAGATCCAGCAAACATGTTTTGCTTTTGATGTGGAGCCTCCCTGCTCAGTCTCGTCAGATTGTCATTAAGAACTATTTTATTAAGGCACAACATCAAACATGAATCTGAGGCTTCATAGTCATGAACTTGTAAATCATATTTTTTTTTATATTGTCAAATAAAGAGTACAGAAATGGGCAGCTGTTCTAGTGTGAATGATGAACATTCATATATTGTCTTCTTTCAGGAAATGTTCTGAGTCATTCATAGACTTTCCATATTCAGTCTTTAGTGACGGGAAAAGATCAACGCCTCCTGTAATATTCGTTATAATTGTTTCCCCCTGCTGGATATCTCAGGTAATAAAATCTGCCAATCTGCCAATCTGCCAGACAGAGTAAATGTTTGTTTTTAGTTTTTGATAGTGTGTGTGAGTGCAAGTTTGCATGAGAGATATAAGAGAGGTGATAGAGAAACGTGAAGGGGAGATAGAGTCGAGGGAGGGACATTGAATAGTAGAACCATCCTCATTTAGTGATAGGGTTGAGTCCTCCCTTAGTTATGAAATGGAACACCATTTTCTGAACGTGACGCCCCGCTGTATCCACCACTCTCCCCGATGTCGGGCTGTGCCATTAAGTGTGCAGGGGAGATGAAATGGCTGTTTAGGTGATTTACATGACCTTAAAGCACTGGAGGTGCTACAGAAGTCCCTCCTCTCCCATGCACTTCTCTCAGTGGTGACAGGGACACTAAAGGGTTCTGATTGGACATTAGATTGTGAGTGGCAGGTCAGCAGGGGCTCTGATTGGACGTTATACATGATGAGTGGCAGGTCAATAAGGCAGCATCTTCCTGAGCAGATGTAATGACCAAACGGTGTGCGTCTTCACAGCTGTCTAGATCATCATGCTGATGTGAATAACTAATCAGAAGTGTGTTTATCACTCAATGTGGCACGCTGCTGGACTGGGAGAGAGAGGGACAGCTTATTATACACCTCTTTCACAATGGAGTCAAGGGATGGAGAGAGAGAGAGAGAGAGAGAGAGAGAGAGAGAGAGAGAGAGAGAGAGAGAGAGAGAGAGAGAGAGAGAGAGAGAGAGAGGAGAGAGAGAGAGAGAGAGAGAGAGAGAGAGAGAGAGAGAGAGAGAGAGAGAGAGAGAGGGAGAGAATTAGGCCAATACCCGCTAATTATCAAAATCCAGAAAAGAGCCGTTAAATTCTATAACCACTTAAAAGGAAGCGATTCCTAAACCTTCCATAACAAAGCCATCACCTACAGAGAGATGAACTTGGAAAAGAGTCCCCTAAGTAAGCTGGTCCTGGGGCTCTGTTCACAAACACAAACAGACCCCACAGAGCCCCAGGACAACAACAACAACAACAACAACAACAACAACACAATTAGACCCAACCAAATCATGAGAAAACAAAAAGAGAATTACTTGACACATTGGAAAGAACAAACAAAAAAACAGAGCGAACTAGAATGCTATTTGGCCCTAAACAGAGAGTACACAGTGGCAGAATACCTGACCACTGTGACTGACCCAAACTTAAGGAAAGCTTTGACTATGTACAGACTCTGTGAGCATAGCCTTGCTATTGAGAAAGGCCGCCGTAGGCAGACCTGGCTCTCAAGAGAAGACAGGCTATGTGCACACTGCCCACAAAATGAGGTGGAAACTGAGCTGCACTTCCTAACCTCCTGCCAAATGTATGACCATATCAGAGACACATATTTCCCTCAGATTACAGAGATCCACAAAGAATTTGAAAACAAACCCAATTTTGATAAACTCCCTTATCTACTGGGTGAAAAACCACAGTGTGCCATCACAGCTGCAAGATTTGTGACCTGTATTCAGAAGAAGAAAAGGGCAACCAGTGAACAAACACCATTATAAATACAACCCATATTTATGTTTATTTATTTTCCCATTTGTACTTTAACTATTTGCACATTGTTACAACACTGTATATATACATAATATGACATCTGAAATGTCTTTATTCTTTTGGAACTTCTGAGTGTAATGTTTACTGTTAATATTTATTGTTTATTTCACTTTTGTTTACTATCTACTTCACTTGCTTTGGCAATGTTAACATACGTTTCCCATGCCAATAAAGCCCTTAAATTGAAATTGAATTGAATTGAGAGAGAGAGAGAGAGAGGGAGAGCGAGAGAGAGAGAGAGAGAGAGAGAGAGAGAGAGAGAGACATTCTAAATAGAGGCTTGAAGTTCCCCCCTTAAATTTATCCAATACACCCTGGGCTTTTCCCCATTGTATCTGCTGAGCCTGATCAATGCAGTGCTGGGAGAAACCGGATTGTTACTATGGGTAAGTGAAAAATAAGTGCATTCATGAATGCACTTAAACAATTTATGAATCCCAAGCGTACAGTAAGTTTCTCTGAATACATGTGGCATAAGACTGTCATTTGCATGAATAGCTGGCCCTGACGACCCTTCGTAGCTGGCATAACTGCACCTGTCCTATTTTACATTCTAGTTATGTGACTGTAAAATTGTTACATCCTTATATATAGAACATTATAAATGAACGTTCCTGCATAAAATGAGAGGACTGTATGAGTGAATATGCTTTTTCGTATTGAACAAGCCTTTACTTGACTGGAAATGTGTTATGTCATAAATCGTACATGATGTGTGATGAAGATACAGATCATCATCATCACACGCATTAATCCAGTCACCTGTTGCCAGAAGCGTTTGCGTCCGAGCGAATATGCGTCACCGCGATGCTCCGCAAACTGACAACCGAGAGCAGTAAAAACCAGTTTGTTTTTATTAGAAGCTCATCGCGCTCCAGTCACACTGCTGGTATTCATGCAAACAACTTTTAATATGGCTGTTCACAGACCCATAGCAGCGTCTTTTATTACGTTAGCATCTTCCGAGAGGCTAGAACACCACGTCTCTGCCACGTCTCTCTACCTCCATATTGACTGACACAGTTGTTATGAGCGATGATAGCTGTCGCCGCTCCGAGGAAGAATCTAAATGAACTGACAGCGACTGGCGCCAAGACACCTCGCTCCCGAAATCCACTGACAACCTTATTATACTAAGAACTTTATACAGAATGATGAGGCCTGGAATCCATGCGATTGAGGCATTGCAGGACGGCATATAATTCCTCACGTCAGGTGTTTATCTTTTAGACAACCTGCTTACGGATGCTGTGGTTATTGGGACTACTGTCATATTCGGACATGTGACTTTTACATATGAAATATGTCTTTACGTTGT